TTTAAACATGACAGTATGGTTTTACCTACTATAAAATACCCAAGGACTGAATTTATTTATTTATTTTTTATGGTTTTGTATTTGTATCTATGCTGAGAGAAGAGATATGGTAACACAATTGAAATTTTTGTTTAGACATATTCACAAGCACTTGGTGGACAATTTATGGAGGCAGAGACATGTGAATATCTTGTGTAGACATATTGTCAAACACATAGTAGGCAGATTTTGAAAGGAACGCACCATGAATAAAACAAGAGCATGAATCTATGGCAAAAAACCAAACAAAATACAGCATTGAAGCTAGGATTAGACAAAGAAGAAGAACATACCAGGTATTTTGTTTGTTGCAGATGACACCAACGATAGAAGCAAGTGTTGTTCAGAGACGAAACTTGAGATCGTCGATTGACATTGACAGAGCAGTTGAGAGAGTTGAGAGAACAGATGTTGTAAACCCTAAACAAAAATGCTCCCTTGAGTAAAGATAAAGGTCATAGGATCCAAACCCCAAGAGAAGAGAAAGGAAGAGAACAGAAGAGGGGTGATTTAGTTATCAGAAATGTAGAGTGTGGAGACAAAGAGTTAGGGCTCTTTTGATATATTTGATTGTTTTTAACTTAATATTTTTGCTAGTGTTTGGCACTAGAGTTTTTATTTTCCCGCCTACTTTTTTTTAGGTCATACCTTTCACGAGAGCAATTGTGTGTCGTATAAAGTGAAATATTTTCAACGGTTAGTAGTTGTGTGCCGTGTATATTTGATGCATTAACAGCATGCTCTACACATATCATCAAAAAATTTATTACGACTTGCATTTATTGTATGTTGTTGATGTGGTAAACACTCAGTTTTGTTGTAGTGTTTTTAAAAAATTTCTACACATTAGATATGCTTTAAAGACACTTTGGAAACACACGCATTACAAATTTGAAAAAGTAATTTGAAATCAATAATAAAAGAGAAACAATATAAAATTTTCATATCGTTGTGTCCAAGCTCTTAGCATAATGCCTTAGTTACTTATTTAGGTTAATTTTATCTTCGCAATTCCTAAAGGAATTCACAACCTTTTACTTGCACAACCAATTGCCAAACTTTGACTTGTTCTATGCTAACACAAATGGACTAAACTAAACATGGAAATTCAACCAGCCAACTTGACAAACTAAAATGGATTAACATCTCGATCTTGAGATCATAACCACAAAAGATAAAAGAAGTCACAAAACAAACTTCTACAACTAAAGCTTCAATCTCAGATGAACTAAAATATTCAATAAGAATGGACAACCTTTTTTCACAATTTAAATGAAGCATATCTCCCAAATATCATTTAATGAAAGGATATGATTGACAAAGATGAAGAAATTATCAACTGTACAGCATCAAAGGAAATATTCACATACTTGCCCTTCTGCCATGCACAACAAGCCCTAAAGACCCAAAATAAAACCTTTTCAACTCTCTTCTAGAATTTCACCCAATAATACACACACACTACGCAAAAACAAAAATCTCAAAGATTAGAGCAACCAACAAAACTTACATAATCTAAGTTCAATTAGAATTTGGAGTACAATTTATACAATACAAAGTAATGATTCCATACTTCTAAATTCTAATCACCACCACCAGGCAATGATATATATATATATACATATATAATCACACAAGTACTAGGAAAACTGTTATAGGCAATACTCTATTTACTAAAGTATCAACTCAATCATACGTGGATGGCAGCTCATCTCTATTATCTATCAAGGAAATATGATTTTGACATAGTGGCCTGCCTCCATCTACTTATATTTCATTCATATTGTCCTCACTTTTTACCTTTACCTTTCCCTTTCCAAATCCCTATCAAAACCCATGATCCAAACACCGGCTAAATATTTGGGGAAGCCATTTTGTCACCCCAAGAAAATACTTGGGCAAAACCTCTTGAAATTCTTTTAAAAGAAAATGTAATTTATTTACAACATGAGATATTTTTCTAGAATTTAAAAAACAAGCACCCAGCATTTTGTTGCATTTAGATATAATAATCGACTTCAAATGCTTTTGAAATGGCCAACAACCATCGAAACATCTTTCTTAGTAAGCATTCCTCTACCACGGAACTAACCTTTAGTATCACATCTTCAATTTCAATTCCTATACTGTATCCCAATCTCTATCTCCCAACTCCAATTATACTAGCAAACTACGTACCAAAACAATAGACATCAAATCAATTTCCAGCCATCAAAACCAAATTGCAAGTTTTCTGTTTTCCAATCAAGTAGTCATTGCAAACTAATGCAATTGGATAAAAAGCATAACTCTCATACAAAAAATCAAAAACAATAAAAGAACACTTTGATTGTCAAGTTTGAAATGAACCCACATTCATCCAAAACTAGCTACAACTATTCTGTTTCAATTGTTCAATTACCCTAAAAATCAATTGAGACAAAGCTACAAAAAAGACAACTTACATATAAGAGCTATGCGAACCCAAGTTTGCCAGCTTCAGAGAGCTCCACAACACCTGAAAAAGCATTTTTCTTTGAATCTCCCAACTATGAACTCTGCAATTCTCATGGCAACCCAAAATCTAAGCTTTTGGCGTTGGCATTCTCTTAGTCTTCTTGTTTCTCTTCTCCAATAAAGCTTTTCCAAAGAACTCCACAATCCGCTCATGTGATTCAAGAAGCATCTTGGTCCGCTTCATCTCCATGTCCCTTTGCATCGTCTCGACTTCTCTTGCCAACTCCATCTTCATCCTTGCCATCCTCATAAACCTATCTCCCAATCCCTTAATCATCGCCATCATCTACGCCGCCGGGTCTCCCTCTCTCTTCATCCTCACGCCATCACCATTACCACCACCACCTCTCTTCCCCAACCCTAACCTCTCTCAATACCCATCTCTCACAACCCTAGTAGACACAAAATTAGGGTTAGGGTTACGATAAGATTTTTTTTCGTCCCACGAATCACTGTAACACTCGATCGACCGGGAATTTTGATCCGAAACCCGCCGATCCCATTGCTCATCGACCCATGAACACTCCGATTTTCAGTAACACCACGCTTCACGCTCTGTTACACTCCGATTTTAGATTTTAGAGGGTTTGGGGGGCACTACTGACGTGTATTTTTTTATTTTTTTACATTATATTATTTGCCTATTTTTTTAATATATTTTTTTATAAAAAATTTAAAAGTATATTTATTTAGATCATTTTAAATATTTTTGAAATTAAAAAATGATTTACAAGATCACTGATGTATAACTGATATGATTGGTTAATGAGTAGAGAAAATATGAGAGATAATATCTTACCTTATGCTTTGTTTGTTTGAACGAAAAAAATTTTCTGAAAATATTTTTTGGAGAAAACATTTTTCTATGTTTAGTGGTGGTGGTGGTGGGGCAACAACAATGGTGACGACGATGATGGTGGCGGTGGCCGTGGTAGTGATGATGTAGTAGTGGAGGTGGGAGCGGTGGTAAAATATTTGTTCAAAAAACGTTTTTCACCTCTTAAAAATGGAAAATGTTTTTTGTTCAAATAGACTTGTTTTCCATGAATTATGAAAAATGTTTTCCGTTAGACTTTCGTTTTTCATTATACCAAACACTAGAAAATACAAAAAATATTTTATGTCCAAACAAATAGAATGTTAGATATTCAAAAAATCTATGCAAAAAATAGGGAGAGAAGCTCTCAAACCTTTCTTTTTAGGTATAAAAAAAATCTAGATCTACCCGATGAAGATATTTTTGGAACTTGCCAAAAAGACGTTGGAAATCGCTTCAGAGAGAGATTGTCCAATGCCTTTGCAGGGTCTCTATCGCTTACATAAATTAAGATATAAAAAAAATCATTATAAGAATTTAAAAAGATAATATATGATCTTGTTGCTTTATTGTTTAGCAAAATTTAGTTTATAGAAAAAAGAAAATTGAACTGATTACAGTAAATAATCACTTAGACATTATTTTTCAAGTTACTAATTAAGCTTGCATAATCAAACTCATTTAGCATAATTATATTGGATTACCTTAAAGTTTTAAAACTGTGCCATTTTTTCATCAAGAATTCGTTAGTCCTATATATGAAAAAAAAAAATGATGTTGACATTATATTTACACTGAAATATATATTTTTTCTGGTTTATGCTTATGTCTGCACATTTTTTTGCATTAATCCCTATTGCTTTAACATTAGGAAAAAAGAGATCAACGTCATTATACCAAATTTATAGGCACATTATAATTTTTGCCTGAACCTTAAAGATGGTTAGTGTATTTTTTTTTTTTTTTCCTGATCATCACAATTTTTTTTCAAATTTAGTATAAAAAAACCCTAAATCCTAAATGGCGACTTTGTTAGTTTATGCCCACGAGCGGCTTGCATCCAGAATGGAAGAAATTATCTGAGGCAGGAGGGCAGGCCCGGCCGGCTAGGGCCAAGTCAAAACAAAAAATCTATGATTTCCTAATATTTTTCGGCAACACAGCAAGAATTCTATGATATCCACAAAGCTTTTATTGATTTCCAGAATTTTCAAAAAAAAACAAAAAAAAATCAAGAAAGTGCCACGAGATGTAGATTCCTCCATAACATTGTTCATTTGGTAAAGAACAATCAACTGACTGCCAACACAATACAATCATTAGTCACAAACATATTTATAAATTAAAAAATAAAAAAAAATAAAAAGCATAGATTAGCTGGAAAGAGTCAAACACAACAGTCACCAATCCATTTTGATAGCAGCAGCAGCAGCAAGCTCATGGAAAAGGAAGACACTCATCTCCACAACAACAGTTGGGATGTGATAACCGCAACACCAAAACCATGTTCCCAAAATGTTTTCTGATAATAAAATCTGAAACTAACCGCATTTCCTTGTATCACACTGTTATCCCAAATTAACACTTGAAATTAACAATAACAAACCAAGAATACTATACACAACTCAAAGCCTGCGAAAATTAACTCTTTTCATCGTAACAAATAAATGTATAACAATGGTAATGATTTTGGGTCGTAAACAGCGCTCTAATTTACATTGCGTCATTTTGTGAAAAATTACAATAGGAAGGATACAAACTCAAGTATTACAATTTCTATCCTTGGGATAGCAAACAATCGAAATGTGGCTAGAGTGAAAGGGAGATATATTATGATGCAGCCTAAATAATATGATGTACTTGACAGAGAAAAAAAAAGATAAAAAAAAATAATTAAAAAAAAAAAAAGCCTAAAAGAATATGACAACTACAGTTTTTACAAAAAAGAAGAAGAAGATTTGATGCACACAACAAAATCACCTAGTCATCTCCTGGGGGGATCGAAAATTGGGTTCATTTCAATTTCTCCACCTCCAAACTCCCTAAACCCCCCGAACTTCTCAGCTTCTCTTGCAATCTGAATGTCATCAGCTCCACAGTATTGAACAAAAATTTTTACAACAAAACGAGGAATCAATGCTCCAATTGGGATGCCAAGCAAGCACAACCAAAACAATCCTGTTTGAGCAAGATGAACGATGGCCCTGCAAAATTAATTTTAAGAGTTGTACTTCAGTCTTTGATCTGCCAAGCAAACAATGATGAGAATTGACATTATGAAAGTCGAGCAGAAGAACATTTCCATTTATAAGAAAATGGATTCAGTAATAAATGCTCGTGCTTATTCATTATATAAAGTGCAAAGCAATTTTAAAGAAAGTAGCGACTTCGCAGTTCAACTGTCACAGATGGTCACTAAACACATAAAGCCACCAATAGTACACTAAAGACAACTACGTTCATCCTCTGCCCTTAGCAGGGTGGCGCTATGCATTCATCAGGGTATTGAACTGAATAATATTCAGTTTTTCTTTTTTTTTGGCTTACCTATATATATGATATATGTAAAGAGTGGAAAATTAGTCATGAATCCCAACACATTCTATAATTACCTTACAATTTACAAAAAAAAATTGGTGAAAAATAGGAGACCATGTAACACTCATAAATATTGACTTTTAACAATGACATAATCCTAGGTGGTGTCACTAACCAATAAAAATATGATTGAATATGTCATCCCTTATACCCAATATTTACTCTACACTGTAATATTCTCTCCCTCTTTTTTGTTTTTTGTGGATTCTCTAATCTTATTTTTGAACAAGACATTGTACCCTAGAACTATGTATGGTGTAGATATTAATTAGGTGTGATGTTTGTTTGATCACCGATAATTTTTCTCGTTATTATGCATCACAAAATTTTTGTAAAATTGCAATTAGTTTTATGTTCCCAGAAAAGATTTCTTTGCTTACATTTAATACCCATGTTTGTAGTGTCTCTGTGAAGAATACAATAGAAAGAATTTCTGGAACTGCTATTGGTCCTTAGTGGTAGCAAACCACTGCTTGTATTGGTTAGGGATCACAACCCCACCTTCGTTTTGTAAATGCTGTAAAATTTGTGTATAATAAACTCTTTAAAAAAAAAAATCTTGGTACTCTTCAAAGAACCCACACGGGTGGCCCTGTGGCTAAGGGTTTGAACATAGGAACTCCACTATAAGGTAAAAAGTCTCATATTTGACTCTCATGGGGCGCATAACACTCGACTTAACTGATATGGTTTGTGGGTGATTGTATGTATCTGGAGTTTATTTATAAGGCCAAACTGAAAGTGAGATCCATGGATATTAAATTGACTCTCTTCAGAAAAAGCTTTATGAGTTTTTCCAAGTGCTTCTCAACTGGGGACACAACCCTACACAGAAGTGCAAGTCTTTTGTGTTCAGTTTTTGGTTTCTTTTTTATTTTTCAGCTTATATCATGCTTCTTACATTTTTCGTTTATCAAACTGAAATAAAAAATTAGTTTGAGAGGAGCTTCCTAACAGAAAGGCCATAGTGCATGCAGCAACTAACATTCAAAGATATCAATAACAAATGTCAAGAATGTTGGCAATGCAAACTAACACAAAATTATGATGCAATTGTCGTGTGCAACTAAGGCACACAAGCAAGAAGGGTGGGCACAAATGCAAAGTCCATCATGCTATGAGATTCAATGATGTAGCATTCATTTTCCATTGGCAACAGAAGCATAGAAGCAAGGAAGGCAAGTACATGTGCACAAATATAAATAGGTATATTCAATATGTAAACAAAAAATTAGCAAAGAGATCTTACCAGTAACCAGGTAATACGGGTATAGCATCAATAACGAGGACACAAATAAAGGTTGCAACTATAGATCCCCAAACGGCTGCATGAGTGATCCAAGTCCACCTAATCACATCCATGGCCAAGTGTATATTAACCAGAATCACCACTGCAAGTGTCCAAAGATCTCCTAAGCTCGAAGCATCAATGGTGCTGTGCCAGTACACAAAGAGGGGAAGAAAGAAGGCAGCTACACTTTGCCACAAAGTGTCCGCCATTGTTATCCAAAATAGTTTTGCATTATAGCTTTCCCCTCTCTGTCCAGACCCATAAAGCTGAGGATACCTTAGAAGAGTCATTCTACTTAGATCCTTGTCTAGGATTCCAACAAAGATTGTAGGAAATGAAGTATAAATTACTGAATACAAGACGCTGCTCCACTCAGTAATTGCAGTTGTCAAAGTGAAACCAGTGAAAAGCGTATACCTACACCATACAATTAATTATACAATATCAGCTACATAGTTAAAGAGTGTTTTTGTATACAACCAGTGTTCATACTAAACATGCATAATTTCCAGCCTCATTCAATTAACTAAACAGTTATTTAACATTCATCACTTTTAAATACTGGTTGTCAGCAAATTTCTTGGCTCAAGGTAAACTATGTCAAAGTCCAACCCTTTTTTTTCTCACCCAGAAGCCCCTGTATCAAATGTGGTTGCAACTAGCTTTAATATATTTTTGGCCAAGTTTAAACAAGGAAAATTAGGGAACAATCAGAAGAGGACCAAAAATAGAAAGAGAAATGCAGAATTTCACTACAATAAATAGTTTTAATTTATATATGTACTTTTTTTTTAAAAAGAAAAACCAAAAAAATATATTTATAGTATTACTCTCCTTTCATACTCCAGACATGTTACAATTGAAGACTTAGTTAAAGGCTCAGGCAAAGCCTTCAACCAAGGTCGGATATTATGTCCTCAAATTTTGTCAGCTAAGCTGATTGACATTTTCACATCACAATTATTCTAGTACAGATTTTTGTATCTGAACATACGTTACAAAAAAATATATATATATTAAACTCACCAAAATAAGACAAGAACAAACACCGCATTCCTGTAAAAATTGTATAATATCATGTAGCCCATCCGCTGGTAATTCCAATGTCCATGAACCAATAAAAGGGGAACCAAGAATCTGAACTGCCCCATTGAAAAATCTGATGCCATGACAGCTTGCCGACCCTCTTGCCCGCTGATACCAACTCCCACATCAGCCATTTGGATCATTGAAACATCATTAGCACCTGTGAACATTCAATCAAAACTTCTATTATCAGGGCAAAGTCCCAATAGATTAGATAAAATGCTGTTCATTATGAGATATCAATCTAATTAAGAATAATAATAAAGCAGAGAGAATAGCGACGGAGGCATTACCATCCCCAATGGCAAGAGTCATATCATCTGTCTTGTTCTTTACAAGGTTAACAATTCCAGCCTTTTGCAATGGAGCCACACGGCAACATAGCACAACAGAACATTTACTGGCTAATTGGAAGAGCTGCAAAATTGAGAAGAGTTCGTCAAGTCAGAATAGAGCTAGCGCAACATCTTGAGAGGAAGATAGAGGAGAAGATTGGTTAGATTACAAGTATTGACCTGGTCATCAAGTTCAGTCTCAAGGATATAAAAAAGACTTGTTCCATCAATGACCAATGCGAGTGAACTTGCACCAGCTCCAGAATTTCCTTCAGTGTTATTGTGCACAGCACCAGACACCGTCATGAACTTCTTAGACATAATCAATGCATCTTCTAAACTCTTTTTACATGATTCCTTGGAGTTGCTGTTAATAACAATCTGGGTCATCTTGCTTGTCAAAAGTCTAGAGGAGTAGCCAATGGAAATGGCAGTTTCTTGCTTGTCCCCAGTCAAAACCCAGACCTTAATACCTGCCACTCTTAGAGACTCTACAGCTTCTGGCACGCCTTTTTGCAGTTTATCTTCGATTCCAGAGGCACCCAATATAATCAGGGAGTTTTCTACATTGCTAGCAACCTTACGTAGTAAAGCTGCCCTTCCAATCAAAGCAGTGCTTGCCGTCTCATAAGAAGACTGCCATTGCTCTAATTCTGAAGAATTTAGTTCCCGCATTCCCACAACAAGGGTTCTCAAACCCACAGATGAATAAGAGTGAAGATGGGCTTCAGTTGCATGTATTACGTTCAAGTTCAAGGATTTGTCAATTACACTAAACATGGTTGTGTCGGCACCTTTTACAAAGACTTTTACGCTCTTGTCAGGGAAACCAAGTACAACCGACATCCTCT